GAAGTACTGTGTCCAAATGTTGAGTCTGGAGGCATAGTCAGCTGTCTAAACCTGCAGCCCAGGATTTATCTGTCTTCATTGCTACAAGGTCATCCTGCAGATTCTTAGGCAGTGCCAAGACCTCCACTCCAGCACCTTTTCTGTCAAGGTGCTTCTAGCCAGCTGGCTGCTAGAGCATACTGCTGCATGGGGATATTTTGCCACAGGTGCAGGCAGGGTTATTGCATGTGGTTTTTGGACTTCATTATGAGCTTTGTTCAGCTGTTGTAGCTGTGTTGTATGCTTGATGGACAGCTGTCAGGCTGGGATTTGGCAATACTAAGGATCCTAGAGAAATCAGGCGATGACTTGTCTTATCTCTTTTGCAGCTCACTGTTCCCATCACTCTCTCCACTTTTGTTCACATGGCATTAGCAGGCAGGGAAGACCAGGGGCCATGTCAGCTGTCTCTGATTTTAATAAAGGGTGTTAATTTGTAGTTTTATATTTTACAAAACATGAATTTTAGTATTGTCATAGTACAAAAGTGATTCTAATACAAAAGCAAATTTAACAAGGTAATTCTGCATAAGCTACTGTGGCATAGCTATTTTTGTGCATGTCTCCAGTTACATACTTACTCTATTGACTTTGTTATTGAAAAGATTCCTCAACTGCAGCAGATGTTTGATCATACTCCAAAGTGTGTCCTTTCTTTAATCTTTTGGAAATAGAATGTTCTAAGTTTTCCTTGAAATCAGTTCTTTTGACTCTGTGAGTAACCACTTTTCTGTTAGCGCAAGCAAGGATAGGTCTGCACCTACACAGGCCACGCTGATAGAGACAAGGATGCACAACCTGTATTTTGTGAGACAGTTCTGTTCATAGTTGTTACAGTTGCGCAGGCAGGGGTTTGGTGATGCAGCTGTTTAAATAGTACCACATGGAAGGAACTAATAGTAGGGGATACTGTTCTGCTCAAAATGAGAAGTGCCCCATTACAGCATGAACTGGGAGAACTCACCCATGCTCAAATAGACAAACACATAGTCTCCATCACATTATTATTTGATAGACTTGAATACAGGTTCCATTTTCAAAGAAATGGGAACTGTGAGTAGCTGCATTGCTTTGCCTGTCTGCTGGCTGATCTTTCCCCTTCTGTCTTTCCCTAGCGTGTATTTTTCACTTTGTCAGAAACACTCAAACCAGAAGGTTCAGTTTTCATAAGTATTAAGTGATAATATTCAAATGTCTGCATATCCCTTTTGCAGAGTGCTCAAACACTGGTCATAATGAAAATTAGATTCTTATCATAGTGACTGAGAACTGTGAACCCACACATCATTTGTAATACCTCTGCCTCAAATTTCACTTGTGGAAAAGAACTGATTGCAGGTTGTGGCATTGAATGCTTTTGTCACAGGGCAATATGGCTTAAGATGCAGAAGCATTTAAAAGTTTCATACAGTGTCAGTATAATACTGCATTATTTCTAACTTTTTTTTCCCCGTAGGCTATTCAGGAGCAAATGAAAATCCATGGGCAAGAGCCTGTTTCTTTTCAGGATGTCAAGGTTAGTTTTACTGAAAAGAGTACTCTGAAATACTTAAATAAGCATTTCATAATTTACTTATGTTACAGTGTCTAGGTTGTTGTATATTTATTTGCAGACTAGTAGAGATAATATGACAAGTCCTACTTGTAGGTTGGAAAATGCTTTTATGTTGGCAGCTGCTCTAAGAAATCCGATGTGTAACTGTTCTAGTAGTTTTCTTACTAATAGACGGATTACCCGTTTAATACATGTTGCTGTGTCTTACACTAGGGGTCAGGATTGTCTGTTGGAGCTTGGAGCAGACTGGTGACTAAAAAAAACATGTCTTACAAAGCTCTTTATTATGGCCTACTTTACATTTAGCAGTTTTAGTACTTCATAGAAGCTCTGACGCTTTTCAACGTCCCTCATAAAAGTTGAGTTTCATGTTGCCATTTTGAGGCCAGAGCCTCCCCAGAAAAACAAACTCTTCTTTGAGAAGTGGGAACTCAGCCCACCGCTCCTATTATTGTGCTTTGTGTGGGTCTTAACAGCTTTTATTTATAAATTGGTGAGGGTAGCAGTAGTTATCCAGAGATCACTCTGTATTATGGTATAAAGTAATCATTATTCTGCTCATTAATGTGTGGGGTCTTTTTCCCCAATTTTGACTTCTCTTTCATAGGATGAAATCTTTGATATGGTGAAGCCTAAGGATCCTTACAAAATCTCCCTTCAGGACTTAATCAATAGCAGTCAAGGAGACACTGTTACCAGTATTCTAATTGATCTGAATGGATTCTGGACATACGAGAACAGAGAGGTCCTTGTGGCAAGTGATAATGACAACACTGCTGATGTTGATGATACATAAGTTTGAACAGGGGCAGACTGTGTCCATAGAGATACCTCAATCTGATGCACTAACTGTTGAAAGCTAGAAGCACTCATTATCTGCATCGATGCCTCTTCCATTTTATTTTTCTCCCAATATAAAATGTGGTACATACGGGAATTGCAGGACTAATTTCTGAAACCAAAAATGCAACTGCTTAAGAGATAAAAATTACCTGTTTGTTTTGGTTTTTTAATAAATATTTTTGCCCTATTCTTATTTGAATACTGTATTGTAAATTTGAATATAAACTCAAAGCAAGGATGCGATTCTTACTGTCTTCAACACTGGCCTGTATCCACTCCACAATCCCAAGCCCCCCACTGCATTCTGTGTGTCTTCCTCTAATGTACTGTTGAGCATTCTGTTGTAAAAGCAGAAGTCTTCAGTATGAGGTAAAGTTTAGGCCTCTTTCTTCCATATGTGTCCAGCTGTGTCTAACAGAAACGATAAGTAAATAACTGTTGAACTGCCTGAATGGTTGCCCAGTTCTCAAGAGGTTCATTAACAAAACTGCACTAGCTTTATATATAGTTAATCCAAGCAGCTGTCTAAAATCTTTCACCAATATAACCTCCTGTGCAAGTACATTATGTAATCAAACTTAATTGCACAGCTGAGCTACAGCAGTAGTGAATTTAACAAAGACGTAGAAATGTTTCAACTTTCAGATAAAATCACAATAGTACAATAGTTATTACCGTGAGGTAGTAGCGTTATTTATTAGTGTGAGGTATAGTGCTGAGCATACCTCACACTAGTGATGAATGTGCTGAACATACATCAAGTATGTTACCAAGTGCTACATGAGACTGTAAGGCAGGGGTGTGGGTACTTACTGTGTTATTTGAATTTCAGCAGGATGTGTGACTCCGTGAAGATGAAAAAACTGAACAGCACATGCACCTGCATGCAGGCATGAAGTTGCAAAGACTGCACAGTTTTTTAAGAAAACCCATAGCCAACTTCCAGTTCAAAAATTATATTAAATATAAAATAACCAATTAATGCATTTACAGGAAAATTAAACCATTATGAAAGTAACCACTTTCATACATTTTGCAAAAAAAACTGAAGGAAGGATTAAGTTAAGGCACAGTGAGTAATACAGTATTTTATACAGAGAAGTTTAAACCCAAGGCAGTGACAGCATTTCTGAGACAAGAGATAGTGTGGTGGGGGAGGACAGCCAATGCTACTGATACAAATTCCTTGGCAGAAAAGCAAAGCATCCTTCAGCTTTACTCTTGAGCTGTGTGAGGCTTTCTGTCTGTAATGGTGTAAGAACTCCCAACACATGGTTATTCTGTGTATTCCCCAAGTGCTGAACTAAGCTGTTTGAGGCTATCATTTGTAATGGTGTAAGAACTCCCAACGCATGGTTGTTCTGTGTATTCCCCAGGTGTTGAACTAAGCTCTCCCCTGCAGCTGTTCAGGCTAGGGAATGATTTTATACAGCTGTCAGCACCCTCTATCTTACAATTAAAGGAGGAGGCAAAGAAGAGGGTATCAAAACAGATGTCATGGAGCTGATGACTGAATCCTCTTCAGAAGATTTTCTGGTAGTGCTGGAATTCTATGGGCAGATGAGAGGAGAAAGGATTTGTGCTTTACAGGACACTAGTTGCAGCAGAGGTTGTCTGAAATACATAACTGAACCCTGGAAACTAACAGCCAAGTTACGTGACCTCTGATGTTACATCAGATTTCTCAGTTAGTTGGTAGTGGAACCAGGGACATACAGCAATACGCAACACAATTTCAGTGGAGACTTTTTTTTTTTAGAAGTACTGTTTCACATGGTAACTGGTGCAGGTTTTCTGCCCCTTGATCTAAAATGACTATAGAATAAAACTGACTGGGACACTGACATCTGATTGTCACAAAGTTAACCATTCTCCTTTCACAGGCTGCATGTAGAATGAGGGTGACTGCAGTAAAACAGACTTCACTGGCATCTGGGCTACTTAAAAGCTCTGGAGCCATCTGTGTTTCACTTAGCTAATAATCTCTGTTGTTGCAGTATTGCAACAAGTGTTTTGTTTATTTAAGAAAAAGGAGGAATCGCAAGTTTGGTTTTGGGATTTCTAGTTATTTATGTATTGTGGGGAGGGGAACATCTGCAATGGCATGTCCCTTACTGTAATTCAACATTAAACTAACAGTCCGGGTTAATTAAGTACACTGACTCTGGTAATCTATGTGTGAAAAAGTTCTTGATTGGTTCTGTACAGTGTCCTGTGGATTCAGTATCATTTAGCAAGATGTTAGTTTACTTCTCTGCACCATTCAGAGCATGTGAAGTATTAAAGCAGGTGGATCTCTTAATTCTTGGACTTCGAGTGAGAACATCCTACACAGATGCTAGTTTTCTGTACTTTGCTAGAGCACTGCATGGAACAACTGAACACTATGGGCCTCCAAGAATGCTGGTACTTGTTAATAAGTCCTTAAAGATATTTATGCCCTCCTTTAAAGTTGTTATTTAAAATAAAAATTCAGTGGACCCTTAAATCTAATTAACATTAAATGCAACATTATCTCTTGTGTGAAACAACAGGAAAAAGAAACCAAACAACATGCATACAGTGACAATAAATAGGGGAAAACAGACACTATTATAATGACTTGTGAGTTACAGAATATTGATTCCTATTAATCTATTCATAGAGAGCTGAGTTGCAAACAATGTGCAAATCAGAAATAGGTGTTTAGAAGTAGGAAACAGCCTGCATCTGCAATCCACAGGTGTAAGAGACACAGCAATTCAGGGAATTTGGGAAAGACATTTTTACCTGCTTTACACAGAAATTAGCTTACACATTCAATTGTAGACCAAATGTTTCTAGTGCAATTTTCATTTTATCTGAAGTGCCAGTTCAGCAGGATGCCTCAGCCTTCCTTAGGCAGACAGACTGAACAGACATCACCAAGCTCTCTCCTGATCAATAAGAATGCTAGAAGTTGTATTTCACTGAACAAGTATCATCCTATTTTTCCTGCTTCTTATAGTCAGAGCGTGACACCTGACACTTCTTACATCATACAGGACTTTACACTTAAGGAGGGACAGGAACCGCATCCTGTTTATCTTCCCCAATGGACTGGCAATCTCCCTCATGTTCAAAGTTTACATTCACGAATGAAGTGCATGCTGTTGCTTCAGGCTGGTCTGTCTGGACAGGAGCTTCAGCCTGTGGCTTGTTCTGCTGTTCCTGGTGCCGTCTTTCTGCTTCGTCTGACATCTTGTTTTCCTGTTCCTCCTCTTCCTCCTAAAAATGGATAACCAGATTCATAACCTACTATTTACCTCTTACACCCACTGTAAGGCTTTTCCATGACAGCATAGCAGTTCCTGTTATAAGGCAAGGACATTTGTTCCATTGGTCATCAGCTCATGATAAGGTATATTCCAGAATTCCCATTAAATAAAAAAATAAAAAACATGGGAAAAAGTGAGGATTAGGTTATGCTAAACACAAGAAAGTCACATATCCAGATAAGCAGTTTTTAAGTCAATAGCAATAATGATATTTCACTACCTGCTCTAAAGCTTTTTCGACTCTTACTACTAAAGAGCTATCAAAAATAAAAACTAAGGAGTAAAGCTGTTTCCCATCTCTTGCAAATTAAGATTATTAATTGTTGGGTTAGGGTTTTTTTTGCATAAAGCACTGGCTTCCTATCAGTCATTTCCAAAACAAATGGTAACAGCGTGTTCAATTTACCCGTGACACTTCATTGAACAAGTTCTAGAGTTGAAAGGTACATTCCTGGCAGCTGCCTCTTTACAGTGTCCAGCAACTGCTCTGTCCCAGCTTCCTCACACTGTTGACTTGAAAATGCATTGTGTAAGAGGAACAAATGGAGCAGTGGTCAGGACCCAGCCAGTTCTGAGACTGAGGAGCTTGTGGGAAAAGGCTGACGATAAGCAAGCATTAATCATGTGTCAAATGGAAACTGAAGGTAAGTAGAAACAGAGGTTTTAAAATTTCATTTTAATGCTGGAATACCAATGTTTTAAAATACCAGGGGAGGCAAGCTGGGAGAAAAGGAGTGCAAGAACCCCATCACATACCTCTCTCTTCATTCGGTAATACTCATCAATGGCATATTGGTATTTTGGTGTGCTTATCCCCAAAACAGATGCAATCTTTTCCCCAAGGAAATCACACACTAAAAAATTGAGAGGTTTACATATGATTAGTGTCTAGAAGAGAATTCTTAAACACAGGTTTATTTTAAAAGGTGTAGTCATCTTTCCTGAAAGGTTTTCCATTGTATTACTTCACTCAAAAGACAAAACCACTGTTAAGCTGATCGACTTACATGTCATTATTAGCTTAATATATGAGTAACAGTTCTTTAAGATAAAGAATGAACAAAAGGAGGACATGGAAATCAGTGAATGGTTGTGCTGGTTGTTTGAATTTTACTAGTTTCAGCTTTGGATCTAGGTTTCTTTTGCTAAAGGACAATTTTAACTGAATTTTAACTGAGTATTTTTCAGTTAAAAACTACATGGCTACCAACCATAACTGCACTTGAGTCTAATGGTATCAGCAAACTGGAGAGTTATTTATTGAAACATGCATACACTATCAGTTTTAACAATGTTCTATGTTGCATATTAATGGATTAATGAAATACTTAGGTTTCAGCTGTTTCCATTTCCAAGCTGGAGGCTACATGCAGCGCTACTTTGCTGAAGCAAGTAGCTCACAAAAGTATGGAACACGAGAGCTTGTGACAGTCAGTCTCTTTACCACATTGACAGCTACAGCACTGGCTCTTGAGTAAAGGCAAGAAGTCAAATATCTTGCACTTCAAATTGCAAATCTGCCCTGAGAATGCAAATGACTTAGTCATCTTTAGGGAAAACAAGTTAGAAGTTAGCAATTGACTGCCTCAGTGAATGTTCACAATAACTCATTTTATGGATTTCCTGGCATCCAGAGCTCTGCGCAAAAGACCAGTTCAAATGACAAATGTAAGAGGCAAAACTGAAGTGGGAAGAAGGAAGTGCTAATCTTCATAACAGACATCTGAAAAAAAGGAAAGCCGTATCTACCTCTGTGTATGAAGAACAGGTGGACAAACAACAGAATTACACTGTATACAAGATAAAAAGTTTCTAAAAGTAAGGATAGGTTAATTAACAGAACAGACTGCCAGTAGTTTTTAAAAATACTCAAAATTAGGTCTATAATGACAGAAACTCCACAACATTTGTCAAAGAAAACCCAGCAATAAATATACTTTACACCTTGGGAAGAACACAAACTAGGACAAGGATTTTTAAAATGTCACAACATTTTATGAGGTCCACAGGTCAAATAAACTGCAGTGAGCTTAAGACGCCTAACAATAGCCTTATTTTTGTTTATTTTGTAACCTCAGAAGCCTGTGTAAAGCACCATGACTAGATGTGTTCTTGGGGTAATTTCTAGTTGTCTTCTTCATAAAAATGGTCAGTTTAATTACCCCAAGCAGCATTCTTTTCAGGTAACACCACACAAAACAATTCCATACAAAACCTAATAGAAAGCTGATATGCTCCCTTGCCAACACCACCCTATCTACATATGGAGAAAAAGGGGGAAAACAAAAGGGTATTTTCTGTTTGTTCTTCCATTCAGGAGTTGTTGTTTCAAAGCAAAATACAGGTTTGTAACTCACAAAGATGATTTACAGTCTGTCAATGCAACTTCCAATATTCCATTACTAGTTTACCCGAGAATTAAATAAAGCAATACCTGATAAGGTTGATGTGGCAACTCGCAGCATGTGAAACCACAAGTACGGTCCCCACGTGAGTGTTGTCTGTAAGAACAAGAGTAGTATGAATACATGATCACTATATGTTCATGGCACATGGTAATACATGCAAAAGCTCAAACAGATTGAGAAGAAAAATCTGCAGTGTTTCCTGTTTGCCAACTACCACAGTATTTTCAATTTAGAATAAGTCTATACCAGACATACATGAAGCAAAGTGTCAACATAAGATATAAATATAACCACAGTTTACATCAGGAAAAATCTGCTTCACTGGTTTTTGTTTTCCAGTCCTAGATTAGGAAATGACAAACATCCAACTCAATCCCAAGGTAACTCCTATAACTAGAAAGACCTTTCCATAATGTTCTGAATTTCATCAGGCCAAGAACAGAAGTGGGTTAATCAAATAGCCCCTTACTACAGTAATAAGAGAACTGCAAATACTGTTTACAACCAAACCTTCAAAGCGGTCCCTGAGCAAGAGGCTGCTTCCAAGTATTTACAAGCAGATATGAGTTACCATTTGGAATTACCGTTCGGAATTGACTGAAGGACAAAACCAGGAAGCATGAGGGAGAGAGACAGTTACAGCATCCCTCTGAGGGAGCAATGGACAGGCTGACAGGCAAAGCACCTGCGGTGATGTGAACAAGAGGAACACAAAATGAACAAAACAGGACTTCAGTAGCGTCACCTCAAGCATTTGCATGTAAGCAAGGAAGTCTCTCTGAAGTGCCTGCACACTGAGGCACACAGCATGGGGCTAAACACAGTGTGTGGTAGGGTGTAGAGAGCTGCAGCAGTAGGATCTCGTTGAGACCCCACAGATGCAGTGGATGGCTCACATCACTGGAGTGCAGTGCAGTGGAGGGATAGAGACTCTTTAGGAAGGACAGGCTGGGAAGACAAGGAGGGGGACCTGTCCTTTGCACAGCTATGGTGAACTCACAGCCAGAGAGGAACTGCTGCAGCATCCAGGCAGACTGGGGTACTTACACACAGGAACTTAAAGATTTAGACATTAATGGCCATACATAGACTATCCTCTTCACTGAGGAAGGAGGCTGTATATCTTAAATAAAAATAAAACAAGCCACGTAATAAAAAGGAGAAGGGGCAAAACAGATTCCAAACTATCAGGGAAAAAGCTGTGGGTCTTCACTTTGTGAAAAGGCAAACTCAAATTTCACAGTGAACTTACAACATGTTTATAGTTAACAGTCTTCAAAGAGATTCAGGAAAGCTCTTTGTTATGTATTTCCCCTCAATAAGGATCTCTACAGAGGTACTTTCCTTGTGGAAAGTAGCAATTCAAAGTGTCAGCTTTTACTAAATGAAACCCATTAGCTCCACTCAGTTGCATATGTATTTATAACTTGCTGCTAAAAACTGTCTGATAGTAACCATTTTCAGTAATCTTATTTGATAGATATCTGTACAGGACACCAATATTACTGTAAATAATACAGCTACAGAGACTAGTTGATACACCTTCAGTATGCCCATACACAAGCTACTTGGCGTCAGTGCTTTCCAAGCATAGCCTCTAAAATCAGTGCCGCAAGAAACTGTCTGTCAAGCCAGAAACTCAAGTTGGGCAAGGCTGAAAAACGCCAGAAGTTATATAGTTTTGGCAGTGGGAACAGAAAATGTCCTGCCAAGGTGAAAGTAAGGAAACCCAGCTGCTATCCTGCCTGCACAAAAGCACCTCCAGCTTGTGGATTACACGCTCAGTTGGCAGACAGGCTAACAATCATTTTGGAGTTTGCTCAGTTGAAGAAGTCAAGGAAAGTGCTGTAAAAGCTTGTTGCCACAGGTGCAAATAATGACACTAAGGCGGCTCTGTACAATCCTTACTAATGAGGTGAACAAGGTTAAAAAACATTCACACAGTGCACAGGACAAACAGGAGCCTTGCTGTGCCACTGTGAGCAAGTAGCTACAAGACATTTAAGAGTGAAAAAGCAAGCTGAACAATGTAACAGAAGTAGCTCAGAACATTCTAGGGTGTTTGTGGTATAACACAAATGCAGTGATCACCAGAGGTTCGGCAGACACAGAGGCTCCATCTATTCCTGCTCTCCGCCCCCCCCCGACAATTAAATAACAGTTTGGTATGTTAGGAACACTTCTAAATTCAGCTTCATGGAAATCTCTGCTTTCTGACAAAGCCCAACCGGAGACTTTTTCACCCCCACGATGAAAGGATTTGCCAGTCCCCTCAGTTTAAAAAAGGAGCATTCTTTTGGGGGTCTCAAAAGGCAATACAAAACCATAAGAGAAGCTACTACACACAAATTCAGCAGGGGAAAGATGGCAAGAACAACCAGGAACAAAGGAACACATCCAAGAAGTATTTCCCTCCTTCCTCCTTACTTCCTCAGTGCAAGCTTGGGTGGTTTCCAGAGCACCTTGGGGATCAAAGCAGCAATGGTGAATGTGGGGCAAGGAGAGGTACTAGAGAAAAGCAGAACAGTTCAGGTGATATGAACAGGACTGTTAGGCAACAGCTCAGTATGAAGTAGCTTTAATACACTGAGTGATACTGGAAAACAGTACCCAAGTCAGACCCTATTAGCGTTCAGTAGGAACCACATACCCAGATCCTGTATGTCAACCTCCTTTGGCCAGAGAAGCCTTAACATTCAGTCTTTAATCAATGCAAGGACACTGTAATACTGTATTTCTTGGCTGGAAACAAGGAACAGCAGTATGGAACACAGGACACCGGTTCATTGTAAGGGCACAGTATTCTTCCTGCCATCAGTCTCTTCAGTATTCATTTTTACAATGCCTGATTATACTATTGAGCTATCCTGACTTCACCTTGTTGTCTAAAATTAAAAACACAATGGTTATGACAACTGTTTTTTAAACTGCAAAAATTCTCAACATACAATTTTAATCCAACTACTGCATTTTAAGTAGGAATGAACAGAATGGATTCGATCATTGATAAAACCAAGAGGGCTCTGGTTCAACAACTAAACATGATTTTGTTTCCTAGTATGGGGCTGCTGAAGGGAGCAAACACCCACTTCCTTGAACTTCCAAGCGCTCCATGTCCCCAAACAATCCACATCTATATTTATTTCTGCCAGATTTCAGTCCCTAGTAACACCTGAACTTTCCAAAGAACGTAGGGTTTCTTTTTGCAGAGAAATGACAAAATGAGGAAAAGAATAATTTTCCGAGTCAAGAAAAATCAAATCCCGTATTTAAGAGTTAATGTGTCACCAAATAGATACTTTTCCATTGTTTACTGTGCCAAGATGCTTTTTAAATCAGTTTAGTTATTGAGTGATCATTGCTATAACAGGTCCTTCAGCATACGCACCGTGTAAAACTGTGGCATCTAACACAAGCCAATTAAACCAAGATCTGGAACACACACCATCCTTCATCAAAAAGCTCCTACTATATCACAAGTTGCTAGTACTTGGCCAGTGACTATGTTTGTCTCTCATCCACAAATTCTTAAAAGGAAATTACAGTTAGACAGTCCTCAAGAGAAGGCTTTTTGCTATTTGAAGTTAAGCTCCTTTTAACTACAGGACATCAAGATAATCTTCCTTCAAGAATGTGATTCAATCTTTCTGAGCACTGAAGGTCAATAAAATTAAATCTCTTCTGGAGCTCTGTTGCAGAGGTGTACTCGGGATGAATTTTAAGGTTATCACCAACAGCTACATTGCTTCCAGTCGCTCTGCAAAGACTTATTCCACTTTCTGCCTACTCATGTAATAAGTGAATGAAACAAAGAGTTTATAGCAAGTCACACTCCAGAGATGAACAGAAAGAGCATCTTCTAGAACAGGTTAGAGAAATTTGATTACTACAAAATAAAGTTTTGGTGAACAGAAACAAAAAGAGATTTGTGTATAATGTGTAAGCATCTAAATTTTAGAACAGAAGACTCAGTTAAAATTAAAGTATTTATGTTACTAAAGCATTTATGTTATTAAAACATTTAAACTTTGAGAACACTCAGATAATACCGAGTGCTATTATCTACAAAATCCAGGTAAAAATGTATTAAGCATACCATGTGTTCTAGATTCAACTCACTCTTAAAAAAAAAAAAAAAAAAAAGATAAACCAAAACAACAGAATGGATACTCCAGTCCAAGAATCTTCCTGAACTCAGTGCTCACCTATACAACAAGCACCAGAATCATTGTTTCAAAGCAAAATTTAAGACCTACTACTTTCTGAGAACTTGTTTTGTTCTGAGGGGCAGCAGTCCATCACACTGCTTTGGTTATCATATTACCAGGATATATACATGTTATTTTGCTTACTAAGAAAGGCATCATCGTTTGCTTAGCTCTGAAACACAATTAAACCAAGGTACTTACTGAAGATATTCTTTACAATGTGGCAAAATATTTGTTTCCCTTACAGTCATCAGAAGCTGCCAGGATGCCAATACCAGCTGAGCTCTGAAATTTCATGATGCAAAGTTTCTATTCAAAACATTAAATGAGCATTTTCTAAAAATAAATCGGACCAAAAAAAGCTATTACTTGCAACATACTTTTTCGTGTCCCAACTGAGATAACAAGTTTTAGACATGCTGGTCTCAGCAAACTGACTGTTTAATTGCTTTTATAGAAATCCTACAATAAGAACATTTTTAAGGCAGCAGTTCGCTAAAATGTCAAAGCTCAGCTTGGACTAACATTTCTTCATTAAGTGGCTCAGCTGGGATACATGAAGCAGGCAGCAGATAAGGCAAACTTCACTTAATGCAACCCTTGGTCTAATCAAGTTTATTCTGTCAGGGTACAAAGCAATACATGTAAGGCATACTGTGCTCCACAATAAACTATTCTGGGTTTGGGGGTCCTTTTATTAAAAAGCATAATAAAATTAAGGATTTCATAAACTATAAGAGGAGAATAAAGCTATCTTAACTGTGCCATACAATGTACTCCTTAGTATTCTGAATAAAAAACCAAAAATCCTTATTAGGTAAGCAGGAGAAGGGTCACAGAGCATTCCTGGCTGCTGTGCATGTTTGAGGGCTCTTCAGTTAAGTGTCCATTTGTACAGCACGTCTCTTGCCTCACAACATGTAAGCCCAGGCTTGTGAGCCTCCCACCACTGCACCACAGTGGAACTCTTCAGAGGAAACTCTTCAGGGAACTCTGCAGAGGAAACTGCACAAAAAATTACACAGATCTGGTCCCCTGCCAATCATAGTTGAGGAAAAAAAAAAATCTCATACATACCCATGGATATCTGACATGACCTGCATAGTGGGGAACAGACCTGGCCTTGAAGATACCTGGACATTACCATGATATTCAGTAAGTTTCACAGTTCTTGCACTTTTTGGAGTAGGTCCTTAGGGAGGAAAAGAAAAACAAACCCAACACCCAGCAAGGCACCTTAACATCTAGCCACTGGTTTTGAATATTTATTTTCAGACTATAGCTAAAGTATTTATTGAACATTTATTTTCAGACTATAAACTTCAGGTGTACTTTATACTGATAATATCCTACCTGCTCCCAGGCTAATATTACTCTTTATTGTACACCAGAACTGCCTAGCAAGAAACAGGCCATCAGTCCCTCCAAGATGAAATGCACAGCTTCACCCATGAATCACTAGCAACTCCAATCCCAGCTGAATTCCCAGTCTCACTGCAGCTCAGCCCTCAAACCATTTTTTGGGCTTTTTTTTCCCCTGTCTTTCAGATAAATTCATTTTACAGAAAGGAAAAACAGAGGAACTGATTGACAGTCCTTCCTAAAGCAAACTCCTTACTGTTCCCCACTTCTTCAAAAGAGAATCAGCAGAAAGTCAAACTCTTCACTGCAGTTCCTTCAACAAAGCCACGCTCTCCCAGGATGGATATACATATAAATAAATACAGGGCCAACTACTGTATATTAAACAGAGAGCTTCAACCACATTTCTTAATTATGGATTCTAAACTGATGATGCAGAAGTCACTTCAACAGCAATATGAAGCAGATAGCAGGGTACTGGTTTTGGTGCATGCAAAGACTCTTATCAGAAGCATCGAAACAAGCAGCTCCATGCTGGCATTTGCTTCCAGCATGCAAGCAGGCAGGACTAGCCACTGCACAAAGGAGTGACTCACAGCTGCCTGACCACACTCCAGCACATCAGAAAGGATCCAGCCTCTATCTCAGTACAGGCAAAAAAGCCCAGAGAGGGACAGGAAGGGAGCCCCACCAGCAGGCAGGGAGTAGGACTGCAGACCCAATTCATTGCGGTAAGCATTGTTGCAGGAGGGTAAAAAAGTTTGCAAACTTAAGAAGTTTGGGACACCAGTTTGTGGGGGTGCCATATAAGAAACATGAGACTAGGGATGTGCACAGATGAAGAGAAGGATGCAGATCATCTCTGGGACCGGCTGCCAGAGGGCAGAGAACTGCTGCTGCCAAAGCTGCCACACATGGCTGAGAGCTTCGCAGATACAGTATCACGACAGATCGTCAGACACACGAGCAGAATAAAACATTATATATTTCATTTTACCTCTAAGCATAGATCCAGAATCATTGACAAACAGGAAAATGTATTTCAGCAGCTGTAATACACACTACTGGAGACAGCTTTACCTGTCAAAACCTCACCTGAATTCGGACCAATAAATGGAGACTCCTCCATTCACAGATTGAGCAACACCTTAACAGCTTAGAAGGCAGATGAAAATTACATACACAGACTAGGCAGATGTTCTAAAAGCTGTTCTTGATACATCATGAATTACACCAGTTTTCCTTTATTTCTGTAAGTCATCTATTTCTTTCCCTTCTAACATTTTTAATTATATCTAATTGCCAGTATGGTAACATCATAACACGGAGAGGTTCAGCTCTCCACTGTCACCAAACGTAAGGAAACAACTGCCCTCCCTGCCCATTTTTTAGACAACAGTACAAATCAAGGAGACACCACTCAAATATTATGAGAGGAAGACATGCTGGAGAGGACAGTCTAGAACCGTGAAGAAATTAAACCCACTTCCAAGTAGCATGGCTACTTTAGTGCAGGGCAACTCCAAGACAAAACTTCTCAGGAATACTTCTCACAGACTTCTCAGTGCCTAGAGCCAATCAAATTAAGGGAATGTTTAATAGTACACCAGATTTGTGTCACAAAAATTAAAGTATGAAATGTGGGCAGTTACCCAGTAAACCAGAAGTATCAAGTAAAATACCTACAGGATCTACAGGTGGCAACAGGTCTTTTTTCTCTTGTTCATCTTCCTCTTCATCTGTGCTATATTCTTCCATTGTTTCTCCACTTGCAAAATGAATAACCCTCCTTGGAATTTTCTTCTTCTTTCCTATGACACCCAGCTCCACATTCTCAAAGCCTCTATCTCCATTTGTAAGTTGCTATAATGAAGAAAAAAAGAATCATTATATCAGGTACGTACTTCTGGAACTAGAAAAGTTCCCCCTTAAAAAACTTAGATATTTACATTATTTTAGAATGATTAGTGTATACAGTGGACATTTGCAAGAGCTTGGCTGCAGGTAAAAGATGGAAACATTACTGTTTGCAGATACATAAAAACTGATCTCATCGTTAAAAATAACCAGGAGGTAAGTGCTTTCACTTCAGCATGGACAGGGGGTATCAAAAACAACTGTTCTGGAAGAGCACTGTGTTATGCAGGACTTTCTTAGCAGGACACTTTAAATATTTTACTGAACACCTAAGTGTTACATTTAAATCTGTCCTTGGCTTTGGAATACCTAGTGAAATTAATCAAGCAATTCATAAGCTGTAGCCATCTTTTTGCAAGCTTAGGCAGACACCTCTAGCACTGGAATTGAATGAGGATAATGAAGCAGCCAGGCTCAAGCTTTAAAAAGATGCATCAAGGAATCTGCTTCTTTGGGCTTTCATCGGCAATCACAATTAGTACACGGGACCATGCTAAAAGAACAACACGCAGTTTTGTGGCTAAGGACATATAAAAAGAGAAGTACAATGTCTGGTTTTGTTCTTCCAGCTGCTGAATACTACAATGCAGTCTTTGGGCCACAAGCATTAAAAAAAATATACTTCTAGTTCAAAGGCCAATCGATAATTCTTTATGCTAGTAACTCCTGCAGCCAGAGAATGTAAGGAAGCTTTTGTGCTGTAGCTATCGAAACGAGCCTTCACCTTATAGTGCTTTCAGACACTACTGCATCAAATGCATAAAACCCCTCTGAAAACACTTCTGTAATGCAGAGAAGGACACAGAGGCCAGAAATGCCAAGCACATGTTTTTAATATACCGTGAAGGTTTTTAAATATGCACGAGCTCCTATAATTGGAAACCATATCATAAGGAGTGAGATGTGTGTATGTGTACATAGAATTCAGGTTGCACAAAAGGGGCACATTCCAGTTTTCAAATGGCAATTGCCTATGCAAACTTCACAGTCTCCAAGGTTACAATCCAAAATTATTAATGAGAATATATATTTTATCACATAAAGCCATCCCTTAATTTTTGCAAGTGCAGCATCACCATTCCCATCTCTTACACTAGATTACATGAATCAGCTGTGCAACACAAACAGGCTTGGTTAGCTGGGAAAGCCAGTGGGACAGAAGGGGGCTGTGGGGAGCAGAATGGCTTCCTTCATTCCAGGCACAGATTTTTCCCGTGCCCATAGAGAAGAGGGAGGGAAGGTAAAGATCATGTGCCCAGCTCTACAAAGCAGAGAGGGAGTGCACACATTCATCATCCTTAGCCCTTGTACCACTGCTTCCCAAAACTGCAAGTCATTTCAGCTTCCCTTAGCATTTCTGTAGCTACTGTGGCACATTTTGGGCATTTTCCTGGAAGAGCAGAGCAGAATGAAGCAGCAAGTCCTCAATGGGGTAGTTCAGCTGAAACAGCATTACATTTTCATGCAGAATTACATTTTCATGTAGAAAGACAGAACTGACTATATGGGGCCCAGTGTACTCTCTCTGCTACATACCAGTCTTGGGAACATAGCAGGAGCAGAAGAGCAAAGCTACAAAAATATGAATGCTAAAAACAGCGAGGCAACCTCAGCACAAGGAGCATGCCTTGCTGCTCCTATAAAAGCAGGCACCACTTACTGTGACTCAGTTCTGTATTTTTTTTGAGCAAAGAGCACCACAGAATCAGCCTTCTATGAACATTTCACGCTCTTTTCTTGGCATCGTACAATGATGCCATTTTTCATGTTTAGTCACAGTGCTGAAGAGCACTATAACTTGCAGCATGGCATCACAAATATTACTGTGATTAACAACAGCATGCAACATGAGCCTCTCCTTAGAGCTCCTCTAAAGGCACAGTCTGATTTTGGCTCATTTAACCCAAATGCTTCAAATATTTCAACTTAGAAAAAACCTGCAGATAACATTTAAAGTTGAAAAGGCAGGCTTCAATTCCCTGCACGCCCATCCCACACTCCATTTACTCTACCTACAGTAAACAGCTCCATATAGCTGGTACAGGTACAAAGTTTTAGGCAAATGCAGCTGTTCAAGACAGTAAGGATTCATCAAGGAATGATGAATCTCACTTCCTTAGTAATCCAGTTCAGAGTTCTAAATTATCAAATAAAAGCAACATATATCAGCTGTTGTTTTGGTTGTTATCTAATCAACAAACCTGGATGTGGGTTTTAGTCATCACTGTAGCATTTGTCCTTCTAATTTCTACATGCATGATCAATAAAAGCCAGCTCTCCCAGCTGCAGGCAGAAAGTTCAACAATGGTAAATTGTATTTATCGTTCCAAAACTGTGGCAACACAGATGTACTCTAGAATTGTCAGCTAGGCTCACTTTATAGCACAAATGACACAGTTATCTCCTGTCTGAGGCTTCACACTTTCGATCTTCCTTTACAAACTTGATCTTCTTTTCCAATTTAAGAAGTTGTTACAAAGATCATCCCTCTAGTCCACACTTCGGTCAGGTTGCCACCTCATTTCTTCCACGCATTTTTTCCCTTTCCACCGCATCACATGGATGTTGAAAGACAGCCCTGTCTTAACCTCATGCTGCAGAAGTATTTACTTTGGCTTCTATTCTGGCAGCTATCAGACACAAAGGCCAGTCATTCTTGCACTTTTGCCACACCAGGTATGTTCGTAAGGTGCTTGGTGAATGCTGTAAAGCAACTTCCTTTTAGACGTCCCTTTTGAAATTTTTCTTGACTTTACAGCACCCATACAAACCTTGCCCGTCAGAAAGTCAGCATCTGAAACTGCTGCTCCTTGTTCACCCTCCTTACACCACTCTCTTATCTCACCCTTTGGACAGAGACTGCGAGAGAGCTCGGCATGCTTTGACAGGAAGTACAACACTGAGCACAACAGAATGGCAGTCCACGTCCCAGATGCCAAGATAAATAAATGATGATTAAGGATGGGGTGTGTCAGTACACCTGCAGGTAAGCTAGCAGAGCTCACATAACTAGTATTAGGTGATGCAACTGACACAAACCTTCATCAAGGAAAGGAAAAAGAAAAGCAAAAAATAACAGGGAAAACAGACTATTCACTTCAGCATCTTTTAATCTGTCAGACTGGGGTATCCTTACAAGAGCTCATGACCCGAAATGCCCAAATCTGTGATGTCCGCTGTCCCTCAGAAAGATGAGTAACTCAACTTGCACAGATCTGCTGACCTGACAGTGCTACTTACTAGAAGGCTGGTAATAGCTAATGAGAAACATCTCCACCCATGCATGCTGTCTTGACTGCCTTACTGATTTCATTTGGGTTAATTCTGGGGCTTGGGGTTTTTTGGGGATCTGGTTTTGGGGGGGTTGGTTGGTTGTTTTCTTTTCATACAGCTTGACCTTCCACCCCTTTGTTTCAACTGACATTAAACAGCGTGTCGATGAAAGAAGGTAAGAGAATAACAGAGCCACAGGACGACTGTAAGAAATGACAATTCTTTGAGAAGGCACCATGATCGGTGAAGGTGCAGTGCATAGCGGAGGCTGGGGCAGGGTAGAACGGCTCACCAGGTTACACTTAATTAAGAGCTGGTGTCCCTGACCATCTCCAACGCCTTCTCCACCTTGGCAGCGCAGAGGGAAGCTGAAACCTGCCTCAATTTAATATTCATCAGGCTCGTTTGTAAGAAGCATTATGTGCCGGTGAACGAGAGACACCGGAGACACGCGTGCCTGCCGTGCCGACTGTCATTACCGAGAGCTGTAGAGCAGGCTGACAGACCGACCTCCCTCCCCCGCGGCCAGACCACACCAGCCACAGCGGACAACCGGCCGCCGCCGGGCCCCCGCTCCTGCACACCCGAGAGCGTGAGGCCGGGGCCGGGCCCGGGCCCCAGCGCCCCCGCCAGCCCGCCGCGGCCAGAGAGGCCTCGCCTGCTCCCCGAAGCGGCCTTCTCCCGGGTGGCCCGGCCGGGAGGGTCCGGGGAGAGGCCGCCCCACCAACCCTGGCCCCCCTCACCTGCTCAGGCTCCATGGCGCAGGCAGCAGCCGCGGCGCCAGCGGCGGGCGCGCAGTAGAGGGTGATGGCGGACAGCCCCTGCTCCATCCTCCCGCCCGCCGCGGCGCCGGGGGAGGGCGGCAGCGGGCCCGCCGCGGCCCAGGGAGGCGAGCAGCCGGCCGGCACCACCCATCACCACCGCCCGCCGGGGCGGCGCTTCCAGCCGCCCTGCGCTCGAGGCGTGGGGGGCCCCCAGGGGCCCGCTCTGCTCCCAGCTGGAGACCGGCGGGGAGGCTAGAGGCAATGGGGGTGCCAGGCACAGCCATATCTACCTACAGCAGGAAGCTTACCCCCTCTGTGAAGAGATGAAACTATGCGTGTTGTGGGGAAATACACGTCATCCTCCTACAATATTGTAGAAATGTGCAAAATAATAGAAGAATGGTCCGAGAAACACATAAAGCTACTTGACAGGATCTAGGAGTTCTTCTGTGTGTCTCAAAAGCCAAGTTGCTACTTAAGCCTTTAAGTACATGGTCATTTTACACATTTTAAAAGCCAAGCCACAGAACAAGAAAGAAAGGGAAACCAAAAGGTGCCTGGGCCCTGGTGGCGTGCCCGTGTGAGAAAATAACATTTATTCCCAGCAGGCAAGAACAACTGTTTGCCAGGCAATTGGTTTGCTTAGCTACTCCAGCACAGACCTCGAGTCCTTTTCTCTCCTGTTTGTGCTGAGGCCTCCTTGCCGCTGGTGATGGCTATCAAACCTGCCAGAAAATGGTTCTGGGGTAGTTGTTACGCATGGCACTTGCTGGCTGTTTTACATTGCCTCTCCTGAGCTCAGGCAAACAGATCACCAGTTCAGAATAATAACTCAACATACAGACCATAATAGCTTCTGTTCTCCTGCAACTCCAGGATTTTCTTCTAAATACTGTGCTCTGGAGGGTCCATAACCATGAAAGAAATTACGGCCATGCTCCCTAAAATGTTCTCCCATAAAGCTATGAGAGCATTTTACAGGTGCTCCTATACAGGAGAATTCTTCCTTTTGAATGCCTCTGACATAAACCTACATGTATATATACACCCAGACACACACATACACATGTATATATATAAAAATCTTGGTAACTTTATGCAGTCATACCAAGCAGGCTCCAAAGTTGTTTCTACCTGGCACATTAAGGTAAGAGCAATATACTGCTGTTTATTCCAACCTATACTTTAGAAATAATAATTTTCATATATAACACTTTAAAGTTAATGCCCTTGCCAACACACAACTAGTGACAGTTTGGTTCCTGTCAGGTAGCAGCAGTAATAGTTTGGAAATGCTGAAACTGAAGACTAAATGTATGCAATGAATTGCAAATAGAAATTAATTGTTGGTAACTGGACAGTCTGAGCCAGTCCAGAAGCACAGTGCTTCACCATTCATCCTCAATACACCTATTAATGTTTAATCTCCATCAAAAGCATTCAAGTTAATGATCCGGTTTCTCCTATAGAATGCATTCCTAACCCAGATTTATTTACTACTCTTTGCTGCATAGCTTTTGTGTGTTACATTGGTTCATACTGCTCAAGAACTGAAATGATTAAAAGAACTGAACAGTTTTAGTAAAAAACACTTAAGTAGCTGAGGACAGCTGGCCAAGCTGGTGACATGAAAGGCTTCATTCTTTTGTTGTATTTAAAATATTAAGACCCAACTTAACTAGTCCTTTTACAGACTAATGCTATGCATAAAATGATCCACTGTAGGTAAATAGCATAGCTGAAGATTTTTCAGCATCCCATACACTGAACATACATACAACTAATTGCACATATGACACTTCCACATTATAAACTAAGTTACTGCACATCTTGCTTTATTAGCACAGGAGCATAACTACCAATAGAATCTATCCGCTGTCAGCTGTGTTAGCTGCCACCTCAAAGAACTGGCTGACAGAGGGACACACCTGTTTTAATCACTGCATTTGAACACCTCTTAATTACTGCATTTGATTCTTACCTAAACAACAGAGATGGGTGTCCATTTACAACCCAAGCACTCTCCAGTATATTAAAATAAATTCTTAATATATCTCCTTGCCTTAAGATAAGGCTGAAAGATCTTACCATATTTGCCAAGATGTATGTTGGATTTCAAGGTCCATCTGGTCTACCTAGTTTCTCAAGTGTGCCTGTAGATTCCACCCTTTTGAGATCAACACAGTAAACTGGAATATTAAAAGAAAAAATGCTGTAGGAAACTAAAATCAGATTGTAGCTGAGTTGGGGTAATACACTGAGTCAGATACAACTAGCTGGGTCTGGTTTAAGTTCAGTACCAGCACAGAATCCCTACATACTAAGTATGTATTAGAACTTATCTCCATGATGAAAGAACCACTTAATTGGCAGGCTGGTATAAAGATTAATCTTCAGCTTGAAAACTACATACCCATATGGCTTTAGTTACTTCTTTGTGTACAGGGGAAGAACAGTAATGTTCTTAAGCAGAAAGGTTTGTACAAACCGGAGCACAGCACATCCATCTTCTACAAATGCTTCAAAGAAAATACCTGAGCAGCAACAGCACATTTCAGATACTGGATCATTCTTACAGTATCAATGCCAAATATGAGCTAAAACAGCCATTAGAAACAACTCAAACAAAGGAAATCATGCAATTACATACTGATAAAGGACAGTTATGAAAACTGAAGAAACAGGCCATTCCTTTGTTTATAACCACTTAAATTTTATTTTACAGTGTATTTGTGACATTTTATGTTACTATAACCAAAGATCACGGTTGTTTACAAATATAATGGCTGCCATTTGATGTAAACAATTAAAAAGTCTCTAAATATTAAATTTTTACATAATGATTTTGTTCTATTAAATTTAATTACTCTTTGTGCCATCAGTTATTAGTGGAGAGGAACTAATTTAAGCAAAAATAGTTTTCAGAAATTAGATGTAGAAACTGAGAAGCTTGAATAAGATTTCAAAAGACTACTCCCCTAATCACTGTAAAAAGGAAGAAAGCAAATTCTTTCACTGAAGTTGCCATGAAGAGTCAAAGTCCACTTTTATTAAGGCTTCTTTACATATTATTGAATCCCATCATGCCTTTCATATTCCCAGCAGCACCTTGTTGGAATTGTCTCATCATTGACTGCAGTCCTGCCATGCCACCTGCAGAAGGTAAGTGGGAACACGGATGTGTTAATTAACTCTGAAGCACAGCTATCTTGCTTCAGGCCTTATCACAGTGAACACGCACTATTTCAATAATATACAAATGCAAACGCCCAAGACTGAAGCTAAGGTTCAGTGGCTATTGAAAATGGACAATTGAGTAATCACAGGAAGGTCTACAAAACACCAGGCTTGAAGCAGGTTTTATGATCACCTGTGTATTAAGATCTAGACAAAAGAAAAAACCTTGAAGTCGTGACCATTATCAATTAGTAAAGTTCCAGAACGGAGTCTTTAAATAAAGATACTCCTGTCAAATTCAGGCATTTGAGGCAAAGACTACAAAAGAAGGGAAGTTTAGGAATAGATGTGCTTTAGCACAGTCATGCTTACAGTCACCACTTTACTACTTCGGACACCCCTCCAACTGATAATTTTGAGAGCCAAATACCAGTGAAGAGACTAGATTAAGCACTGGTAAGTGCGAAGCATTCATCATATGGACTAAGCTTTATGATTTTTGTCAGGAAACCTAGAAATACTTCATACTGATACTAAATGCATGCTTTGTAATATCACCTTCCTCACTTCTATATTTCAAACACTCCACTCTAATTGGTAGTCCTCTCCTGAAGCCGTAAAAGTCAACACGTACCCATATGATGAAGAACTCTTGGATCCATCATCTTTGCCATCTGTTGATTCAGTTTGGCCAGCTGAGATGGGTTTACATTCTTCGACATATCACCACCTAAAAAAAAATACAAAAGAAGCAATTGTAAGAAAGTGGATCAACATATGGGGCTAAAAATAAATCAGATTTCTACCTCCTAATTCTAGATGCAAACCCATTTGAGTCCATGATCAAAAGTTACTGTATCAGGCACTTAAAAATATTTTAACAATCAACAGTCCCTGCACCCCACATAACAGACTGAAGTGTCAGTAGTGTAGCAGTAATGAAGTCTACATTGATGAAGCCAAAAATACTGTAATTTTTCACCGTTATACATTATTGTCATGAAGAACAATGCAGCTCTCACCAGTTACATAAAAGAACTTTCAAACACCAGGAAAATAAGCAAGCTACAGCTCACTTTGTCCTCTCTCAACACCTGATTGACATTTTCACATTACCTGTGTTCACACATCACATAACCTCCCCACTGAGTTACTAAGTGTTCTTTGGGGTTTTTGTTTGTTTGCTTTAGGTTGTTATTTTTTGGTTTGTTGTTTTTTTTTTACCTTTGAAAAGCCCTTTGATGCCTCCCATCTTTTTCACCATCTGTGCAAACTTAGTATATTGAGTCAACAGCTCTTGAACATCTCTGGTAGAAACACCTGAACCTCTTGCTACTCTTTGGATTCTTCCTGGCTGCTTACTGAAAACTTTGGCACCATCTGTACTGTCAAGTTCTGCAATTACAGTGTCGGAAAGAGAAATCCATTCAGTTACTGACATTAAAAACTATTACAGCTGGTAGCAAACTTGTTCTCATTATTGTTGCGAACTTAAGTTTTGAGCCAGGGATCAAAAATCTTGGTTTAGAAATGACAATGCAGAATTTAACATAAATAATTGAGATGTAATATTCTAAGGAGTTGTATAAAGACATTGTTATGCTTGTATGTTAATCACCATGGCAGCAAAAGTCACCTGAATAAATTATGCTTTCAGCATACCTGGTCTTAAACATATTAAGGGTTTTAGCACAAAGTTAAGAGCATACTCCTGCAAGAGTTGTAAATGGATTAGGAACACCACCTTGAATTCCAGAGACGAGGCTATGTTACCAAGTAAATTTGAGGGTGCGTAGGATGAAACACAGCAACAACAGATTAAAGATGAATGTAGCTTTTTAATTTGCAAGTATAGCATTAATAATTCAAGAAGCACAGCTATAGGATGAAAAATAAAAGTACATTCATTTCCACTACCCTACAATAATCTCCAAATGCTTCAAAATCCCACTTATTCTACACAGATAAAGCAGCAATAAGCAAT